TCCATCCCCCCGCCGAAGTCTTGGGGAAGGCGGAGTGGGACGCAGGAGAGAAATCAGACTTGAGCAGCACTTTGAGCTGCTCCCATTCGATCTGTGCTTGCACATGCGGCTGTGATTCTGTCGACCAGGAGTTGAGGTGGGCGAGGAAGGTCGAGGGGGAGCGATCAACCAGGAGTGAGGGGACAAGGTGAGAGTGGATGTGCTTCTGCATGCGCAAGCGTGGATTCGGGCGGGCAACCGGCAGGCGGGCTTTTTCCGCGCGCCACTCATTCAGTGCCTGGCCACAAACGGTGGCCACCAGCTCGTTCGGGTCGTTCGTGGAGCCGCCAGCTGCCTCCTCCAATGTGAGGGCAATCGGCGGAGAGCGCCAGTGCGATGGCGCATGCATGCCCAGCGCCAGGTCGTAGAAGGGCAATGCCACCGCCGCCGCCTCCTTGAGTTTGGCTGCCCAGTGCGGCCAGTTCTTCACCGAGTCCGTGGCGCTGCGCATCAGGGCGGCCCTGTTGCTGAGCTCGAGCGAGACCGCCTTCAGCGAGGGCGACCAGTCACCAATGCGAAGTAGATCATCTCGTGGCAGCGCTTGAGGAGGAAGGTGCCGGATGCGGCGAAGAGCCCAGTTCTCCTTGCGCTTCATCTTGGGCGGCCGCGCGCGCTGCCAGCCCGCCGCCACTTTCTGCCAGCGCTTGAGGTTATCCACGCTCGGGCCCATCAGCACCCCAAGGTATTCAGCCATGTCCGTGATCGTCATGCCGCTCCACTTCGGGACCAGCGCCTCGATCTTGGCGCGCGCCCTGTCCACGACCGCCGGCGAGAAGGAGTCCGCCAACGGGATGATCTTGCACTTCGCCGTCTTGAGCACCAGGCGCGCCAAGAGCTCCGCCGCGTAGAAGACGCTGGACATGGGGCGCAACATCTTCAGCGCAGGCATCGCGCTGCCCACATCATCCGCGCAGGCGCCGATGACAGCGCCCTTGAAACTGCCCGAGCGGGTGTGCATGTCCCTGATCAACGGATCCATGCCGGCGGCCCAGAGAGTGCCCGACCACGGGCACCCCTGGAGGATGCCCGAGGCCAGCGCGCAGAACACCTCAAGCGCGCCTCCAAGGTTGGTGAAGGCAACGGACAGGAGATAGATCGCGTCGACCATGTTGCGGATGCCCTGCGGGAAGCCTGCGATCTCCAGCGCGGTGTTCAGCCGGACCCTGCACATGGAGGGGGGCGCGTCGCCGAAGTCGAAGAGCACCAGGAGCGGGTCCTTCTCCACGGGGTCCGACTGCATGGCCACGATGCGAGCCTGCGCGTCCATCGCTGCCACGTGCTTGATGAAGCGCCTCTGCGGTAAGAAGCCCTTCTGCGCCTTGTGCGCGCCTTTGGCTACGATCGGCTTCATCAACTCATTCCCCATGGCCGCGACGATGTTGCAGTCCGTGTTCTTCAGAGAGAGGGGACGAATTGCCTTCGCCGTCCTCGTCGCTCTATGCTCGTCAGCAGGCTCCGACCCCTTAGGGGTGAAGATCACCAGCGAGTCATTGAAGGTGAGCGGGACAGGGTAGCCCTGCATGATCTCGATGGTCACGTCGAGCATGAGCTGCGCCGACGAGGGGATCCGCTTCCAGGCCATGTAGGGGATCCCGTCAGGTCCAGGCGCCGAGTTGTTGAGCCTGCTGATCAGGTTCTTCATCTTACCCAAAGTGGGGATGTCCATGTCCGTGCAATCATACGGAACGATGTGCTTCTCGAGGTAGCGCTTTACGTGCTGGAGGTGGCTTGGCCTTGCCTGAAAGACTTGGGACCACTGCCGACGGAGCTCCTCGATCATGGCAGCAGGCGTCTCCGTGGTGCTGTGGTCGTGCATCACCTCGATAGCCTTGAGCTTGAGGGTCTTGCCCGTTGGGGCCCAGAGCTTGCCACGCTTCTGGATTACCTTCCGCATCTTGCGGAGCCGCTGCCGCTGCTGGAAGGGCGTGTCAGCGGCGGACTCCTCCTGCAGCAGGGCCTCAGTGCGCTGGTCCTGGTGCGACTTCTGGTGTTGCTCGAAGACGCGGCGAAACGTGCCAGGCTCGATCAGCGTAAGGTTGTTCGGGTCAGAGATGTCCAAGAACTGGTCACCGAGCTCAGTGCGCGCCTTCAGCGCGCGTGCGCTCTGCCAGTCACTGCGCCAGACCGCCCTCGAGATCGCTCTGCAAGTGGCGAGAGCTGCCGACGAGCACGGTGCATGCATGTCTGTCAGGTCGTTGCGGGTAAGGCGCGCCGCCTCGCGGATCAGGCGCTTGAACTCCTGGAGGCGCGCAAAGGGCGTGTAGCTGTCCAGGTCGGCATGGCTGACCAGCAGGTCAAAGTACTTGATGAAAAGAGGGTGCTCGAAGATATGCTGCGGGATCGGCTGCGACTCGCGATCTTCACGAGCTCGGGCTGAGAGGCGTAGGTGTACTGGGGCATGATCCGAAATGCCCCTGTCATAGAGCATGTCAGGCGCCATGGGCATGTCGACCTTCGCGCACCATTGTGTCAACAGCCACGGCGGCGAGCTGTTATAGATCTTGTCGATGCGCGTGCACTGCTGGGAGTGCTCAGTGTAGCGCGCGGGGAGCTCGGGGTCCACCTCGACCATGTCGCCCAGCGCCTGCCCCCAGAGAAGCTGATGTTCAGGGTGGGCGTTACGTAGCCTGGGTAGCCCCTTGTTGACGAGCGGGGCCGTCATCTCCAACGGGGCCTCATCCATGACATTGAAGTCGCCCATGATCATGACTGTGATGCGCTCGGGCTGCTGCCCTGCGGCGCTGAGCTCCGCCCTAATCGTGCCCGCCGCGCGCTGGACCTGATCCTGCGTGAGGTGGAAGTTGTGAACGTTGTAGATCACCACCATGGACGGCTGAGCGCCCTCGGGTGCACCAGCGAGATCCGACTTGATTTGGAGACGTTGTACGCGGCCAAGTACAGGTGCGGTGCGACGGAAGCGGTCAGGATCAGCCGCCTCCTCTTGCGAGAGTCCAGGAAGCACAATCGCCGCGCCTCCCGTGCCGCGCTCAGGGATGGAGGTGAATATGGCTGCAGGCTTGTGACCAAGGTGCAGGGCGTGGGCGAGCTCCGTCTCAGAGCCGTGCACCTCCTGCATGGCCAGCGCCGGCGTGGAGTTGAGCACCTGCAGCATGTGGGTGACCTTCTTCTTGCGCTTGAGCGGGTCCTGGCAGAGGAGCGCTCGCGTGTTCCATGTAGTGAAAGTGATTGCGCCATCAGACTGTGCCCTGCGCCAAGGGGCCAGCGTCTTGTTAAAGCTGCCACTGGGCGTCCCTCGCGTCCAAGGATGTTTGGAAGACCTCTTCGAACTTCGCGCGGACGTCCTCCCTGTTGATGCCGTGCGCGAGGCAGCCCTGGTAGTTGAAGAGCAATTTGGTCGGCTCGTCCTTTGTGGAACCCACGGAGATGGAGAGGATGGGCAGGTTGTTGCAATAGATGATCCCTTGCTGGCGGTCGCCTCGCCAGCGCTTCGTGTCATGTTGGGTCTTGCAGATCTGGGTGAGCTTCTTGGTCTGGAACTCTCGCCTCGCTGTCTTGCCGCTGCGATCGAGACCGAGGAAGAGACGCGTGCGCTGACCGTGGACGCTGTTGACCATCGTGTTGAGCCATTCGCCGTCAGCGCCCTTGAGCTTGCTGTAGAAAGTGCGGACACGCCGAACAGAGGCATTCGCGTCGCCACTGAACTGGATGAGGAATCGACGCGCTGGACTCTTGCACACTGCCTCCCACCCGCCGTCGCCGAACTCGCATCTGTCGATGATGGGCTGGATGCTGGCCTTGAATTCGTCGAGCATGAAGTTCTCCGCGGCCGTGCCCACGATGATGCTGGTGTCTGCTGGTCGGTCCCATTCGATGAGATTCTCGTAATCCTTGATGGGGATCTGTGCCTCCTGCTGTATAGCCGCTGTCGCATTTCTGCAATTTGAGCACGTAGTTCTGCTTGTTCGGCCTCGAGCTTCGACGATGTGGCCTGTAGTGACTGGATCTGACCCGTGAACTGCGCGTTCCGTTGTTGCTGCTGTCCGACCACCGCGCCAAGGGGACCCTTGAGCTGGGTTGCGAACTCGCCGATGATCTCTGCTTTGACCGATGCCAGCTTCGAGTCGAGCTGAGCTGTGAGGAAGTCCTGCGAGGCTGCGATGGCGGCGTTGACGGCGTCCATGGGGTCCACGAGCTAAGAGGGGGTTGAGGCATTGGAAGCTGAGGCGTTGGAAGCATCAGCACGAGGCCTCTTGGCTCCTTCAGCAGCAACACGGGATAGAGCGGCCGACTCTCTCCAGGGGTCGTGTTGATGGATTGCATCTGGTTGTCGGTCGCCAGCACCACTCGCGCCAGCACCAGCGGGTTGGAGAGGAGCAGAAAGGCGACCAGCAGCAGCAGTTCCGCTATGAACCGCCATTCGCGGTGAGCACTGGATGCCTGGGGCGGACCAGGACTTGGAATATGGATGCCAGGGGTGAACCTGGACTTCTTGATATGGATGCCAGGGGCGGACCTGGACTTGGGGCTGGTGCCAGGGGCGGACCTGGACTTGGAAGCAGCTGGAACACTGGGTGGGAGCCTACCCCGCGAAGGCAGTTCTGAGGAAATCGCGGTTTGGCCCTTGAGCCAACATGGCTACGGATGTTATATATATATATATATATATATATATATATATGTATTCCGTAACGCCTCAAAAACTGCTGAGGGCACCGTGGGCTAGTACCGTAGGCCCCCCGGCACGCGTGCCCGCATTGTGCGCGCTCTGTCTCCCTCTTGGCGGCGCGCACAAGGGGAAGGGGGCAGGGGGAGGGAGAAGGGCTTCTTAGAAGGAGGCTGCTGCAAAGAAGCCTTTCCCCCTCCCCCTGCCCGCCTCTGCGCGCGGCTGACTCTCTCTGGCCTCGGAGGCCTGGCCTCGCCGAGGCCCTCGCCTGGAGCCTCGCTTTGCCGAGGGACCTTCTTTCCCCGAGAACAAAGGCGGCCCGGCCGGCCGGGGCCGCCTCCTCATGAGGTTCCTGCGCCACTTGGCGTTGCCCTGCCGGCCGCCGTACTCCACCTGCGCGCGGCGCGCCCTCCCCCGCTGGGAGGGCGAGGGAAGGAGGAGGAGGAGGAGGAGGAGGAGGAGGAGGAGGAGGAGGAGGAACAGGAAGAGGAGAAGGAGGAGGAACAGGAGCAGGAGGAGGAGGAGGAGGAGGAGGAGGAGGAGGAGGAGGAGGAGGAGGGAGGAGGAGGGGGCCTCGTGGCTCGGAAGGCCCGCCCAGGGGCCGCGGACATGATTTAGTGGGACTTATGGCCGAAACCTGGGCTCACAACGGCGGCAAAGAGACCCCCAGCGCTCGGGCTGAAATCATGTTCGGGACGAGATTCAGAATGTGATTCCCGCTCGGCCCCCAGCGCTATTTCGGGTCGATTTGGGAGTGGGCTGGAAAGGGGAGAAAGGCGCTCAGAGAGCCCACTCTGGTGGTGGGCTTTGCCGAAGAATAGAGAATTGGGCCTAGCAAGCTCGATTTGATTTCTTGCTGGCCAAAGTGCTATGCTATGCGATCTGCTGCTGAGTCGCCTGCAGCACGGCAGCAGGCGAACATATCATTACGGTAGTTGCAGGTATGAAGCAGCAACGCTACTCGCAAGATCGTGCCATCGCACGGCTCGGACGCTCGGAGAGTTGAGCAGGCAGAAATGGGTCCCCCACACCCCCCACCGCCGAAATAAACTTTCAGAGCGTGCCGCAGCGGACGCAGTGCGACTGGGTGTCGCACTGCTATGGGGCATCCGAACAAAACATGGTATGACGGCTACATGTGCCTAGCTGGTCGGTAAGGGGAATCATCGCTTATTGTGTACCTCTAGCTGCTTCTTGGATTTGGGATGATTGCTAGTTGTTACATGGATGTTTCCCTCGTGCCTCGGAGGATCCGAAATTCGTCTTTGACGCCGTCCGAGGATTTCCGGCCAGCCTCACCATCCATCTTGGCGGACTCTGCCAAGTTGTCATCCGTCTAGTGGTGCTTCGCAAGGTGGTCTCCAATGCTCTCCTCGCTGTGGTCAGCTGGGCCTCCGTCGCAGCCGCTCCATCCACGCAGCTTTGACTTTTCTGCTGCGGAAGTCTGGAAGTGGCGTCGCTGAGCCCGGCATCTCAAGCGCCAGTCCAGGCCTGTCGAGGTGTCACAACGAACGCGCGACCGGGCATAGGGCTCGGGCCCAACGATTTCGGCTGCCTGTGTCGGGGCAGGCTGTGTACCTGCGGTCTCCCCTTTGCCTCTGCCCTAGCTCTTACCCTTGCCATCGCCTCACTTCCCTCTGCAGCCGAAGCTCTGCCATACGGAACCTTGGATACGGAACGAAAGCTTTCTTAGGGCCTCAGCTGCGCAAAGGTAGACGAGAAAAGTGGATGACCCACGAAAGGGCCGAAGGAACATTGAGCCCCTTTTGAAACCCAAGCGGGCCTTATCCCAGAGTTTTGGATTTATGCGTGCCCCGTGTGATGGATGGGTCTGAGGGGAAGCCTGAGCGGGCAGCAGCAGGCGGCGGGCTTCCTGGCATCGAATGGAAGAATACCGAGCACCTCTTGAAGCCCGAGGTGCACCTCATTCCAGCCCCTCCCTTCCTCCTCCCTCCCTCCGTCCCTCCCTCCCTCCTCCTCCTCCTCCTCCTCCGTTTCATCTCCTACCACATCCTCCTCCTCCTCCCTCCTCTTGTTCCTCCTCCTCCTCCTCCTCCTTCTCCGCCTCCCTCTTCTTCATAACCCCCCCCCCTGTCGCACCACCACGCGTGTCCGTAGACCAGGCCGGGCGCTTTGCTGGAGGCATCCTTATAGCTGCTTGTCCCAAAGCTAAAGTAAGATGAAACGTCTACAATGATGCAGGGCTAATGGTGTTTCCACGTGCTGTTCTTGCTTGATACTTTCTCAATCGCTATGGCCCGAAGCTCCAAATTGCCGGTGTATTGCAGCATCGTTGATGGGTCCTCGGTGTACTCTGGTCCCTCCTGCCCCTCCTCCCTCCCTGCCTCCCTCCCTGCCTCCCTCCCTGCCTCCCTCACCCTCCTTCTCACCTGCTCCCCCCTCCTTCTCCCTCCCCCCCTTCCCCTCCGCCTACATCCCTTTTTCTTCCTCTCTGCCACGCCACCAGAAGTGTCGGCAGGGAGGTCCAGGCTTTTCGACTGACAGCTTCTCGCCGCTTATGATCCTGAAGCTTGATGCCTGTAACATTTTCACAGGTGGAGGACGGGTTCGCTCTAGCGCCGCACACATTCGTCATAGAAGTGTCCAATAGCTTCACAGATGGAGGGTTGCTCTCGGCTGAACGCCGCGCGCATTCTTGTTGAACGCTTGTGATAATTTCATGGATGGAGACCGGTTCCTTTTCGACATGTGGCTCTCGCCTGAGCGTTGCGCACATTCGTCTTAAAAGTCTGCTGCCGTTTCGGGGATGGAGGGAGGGGGGATCGTTTTCAATATGGTGTGTTGTTGTTAGCACTGCCCACATTCGTCTTAAACGTTTGCAGTATATTGAAGGATGGACGCGGGGTCGTTTTCAACATGGCAATCTCGCCTCAACGCCGCGCACATTCGTCTTAAACGTCTGCGTCATCTTCACGGGTGGAGGGCGGTTCCTTTTCAAACCGTGGCTCTCTCGCTTTAGCGCGGTGCTCCTTCGATTTTCCAAAATGTTGAAACATCTACGCGAGTGGAAAGTCGCTGTCGCCCAAATGTCGCGCGCATTCGTTTTTGAACGCTAGGCGTAGCTTCGCGGACGGAAGGCGGCTCCTTTTCGAACTGTCGCTCTCGCCCGAGCGCTGCGCGCATTCGACTTAATGTCAGCTGCGATTTTCGGGGTGGAGGGCGGAGGTTTTTTTCAAGATGCTGTGCTTGCCTTGGCGCCGCGCACGTTCGTCTTAAACGTTTGCAACACACTCAAGGATGGACGGGGAGTCCTTTCCAACATGGTGCTCTCGCTTTTGAGTGCCGCGCACATTCGTATGGAACGTTTGCGTCATCTCTACGGTCAAAATGTAGCTCCCGCTCTGGCGCAGTAGCCACTCGACTGTAAAACAGTTAGCAGCAACTTCAAGGATGGAGGGTTGCTCTCCCCTGAACGCCGCGCGCATTCGTTTTGCACGCTTGCAGCAGCTTCACGTTTCGAAATGTGACTCTCGACCGAGCGCGGTGCGCAGTCGTCTTAAAAGCCAGCTCCAATTTTTGGGACGGAGGGAGGGGAGCGTTTTCAAGATGGTGCGCTCGCCTTCGCGCCGCGCACATTCGTCTGCAACGTTGGCAACATATTCAAAGGTGAACGGGGTGGCATTTCCAACATGGCGCTCTCGTTTTTTAGCGCGCGCTTTCGCCTTGAACTTTTGCGTCATCTTCACGGATGAAGGGCGGTCTCTTTTCAAACTGTGGCTGTCGCTTTAGCGCAGGGCTCACTCGAATTTCAAGATGTCGAAACACTTTCGCGGGTGGAGGGTTGTGTCCGCCTGATCGCCGCGCATTCGTTTTGAAAGCTTGCAGCACCTTCACGGAAGGAGGGCTGCTCCTTTTCGAAATGTGGCTCTCGCCTGAGCGCTGCGCGCCTTCGTCTTTAACGTCACCTGTAGTTTTTGGGACGGAGGGAGGGGAATCGCCTCCAAAATGGTGTGTTGGTTTTAGCGCCGCGCACATTCGTCTTAAACGTTTGCACCAGGTTCAAGGATTGACGGAGGTCGTTTTCAACATGGAGTTCTCGCTCTTAAGCTCCGCGCACATTCGTTTAAATGTTGCAGCAATCTCACGGATGGGAGGAAGTGTCGCGTTCAAAGCGGGGCACTCGCCTCAGAGCCGCGCGCATTCGTTTTTGAATGCAACTTTTAAGCAGGCTGGAGGACAACCCTTTCTCACAAGGGAGTTATCGCATGGGACCTCGTTAGGTTTTAAAGACCGGGGACATCAGCGCGCGTAGAGCTGCACGGACCCATGACGGGTTTCTCTTGATGGAGCTGCCGCTTGAAGTTTCGTCGACGTTCATGACCACAAGCGGTCTGTAACAAATTGCGCGGCTGGGGGGCGGTCCTGCTTCGAAACGGTGATCTCACTGGGCACCTCGCTGAGCAATATGATCAATTTCGCGATTATGATACGCGTCAAAGCGATGTACGGCAATTCATTTTCAAAGCGGGGCCGTCGCCAAAATGGCAGGCCAACTTTGATTGCATTTCAATTGGGGCGCTTCTTGTAATGAAGAGGAGGACTTGTAGTAGGGGCGAGTGAGGCGGGCCGTGGGATTGGAAAGGGTGTATTGCAACAGCGCTCCTGCATTTTTCGTCTACTCTGGTCCTTTTCCTCATCCACCGCCTCCTGTCCCTCGCGTGGGCCAGAGGTCCTCGTGGATACTCGGCTTGGTCTCGGGCGCGTCCTCCTCGAGCGCGGCGATCACCTCGCGCCGAGGCGGTGCCGTGCCGCTGGCGCGGCCGGCCCGTGGTTGGCGGTGGCCCGCATTCCATCAACTCCGAGCGTCGAAGAAAACAGCGGTGGGAGGGGAGAACAGCAAAGGAGAGAGAGCGAGAGAGAGAGAGAGAGTTAGAGAGAGAGGCAGTGCGCCACACCTCTTCTGGCGGGAGGGGCCGCGGTTTCGAACGGGGATGGTTCGAGAACCCCCCCCCCAGGGCGCAGTCTACGAACGACCACGACTGGAAACAGAGCAGGGCACTCGGGAGTGCCACTCCCGGTCGGCACGCCCACGACGACAGGAGGCACAGGTACGGCGTGCTTTGGCCTGCACGCCTCTAAGGCCCGGCAGACAGTCGTCGCGGGGGGCACTCCTGCCGTCGGGCTCGTGCCCCTAAGTTTGGTCTCCTTCCTCTGCGCCTCTCCTTGCCATCGCCCTCTGGCGCGCACTGCGCGTCGCTCGGCATCGCTGAGCCTTCCTGCCTTGCCTCCTTGCGCCCGCCGCTGGGGCAGCCCCTCGGTCCCGCGCCTCGCTGTCTTCCACGGTCGTTGGCCGTTGCTGTCCGCCTCTTCTCATGCTGCCGCGTGGGTCCGTCCTACGGTACTGCGTGTACCCTCCCTGCTATCCGCGCCCGGACGGCTGATACCGTTCACCTTGCTTCATGCTGCCTTGAGGGCATCACCCACGGTATTGCGTGTACCCTCCCCGCTATCCACGTCCAGATGGCTGATGTTGTTCGGATCGCATCCTAAGTGACGCTTGAGAGGCCGACTGCTGCGCGCACTGTCTGTTCACTCTCTCCGCCTCGTCGCCGCGCACGAGGCCGCTACCGCCAAAAAGTGCGTGTGTGTGAGTGAGTGAGTGAGTGAGTGAGTGCGTGTGTGTGTGGGGGGAGAGATGGGGCGCAAGGGAAGGAAAGATACGGGAAGATGAAGGACGGAAGAAGGGGGACGGTATGCGAGGGGGAGATCTCCTCCTCCTCCTCCTGATCCTCCTTCCCCTCCTCCCTCCTCCTCCTCCTCCTCCTCCTCCTCCTCGCTCTCGCCATAGCGCTGCGCACAGTCGTCTTAAACATTCGCAGCGGTTTCACGAATGGAGGGCGGGTGGTTTTCAACATGTGGCTCTCGCCTCGGCGCCGCGCGCAGTCGCCTTGGAACATTACAGCAGTTTCAAAACTGTAGGGCGACTCCTTTTCAACATGTGGCTCTTACCTTAGCGCCGCGCCCATTCGTCTTAAATGTTTGCAGCAGTTTCAAGGATTCGTATGATCGAAGTCCCAGGAATGGTGTTCTGATGCGATTTAGGAACGTCAGGACGCAACAGTCAGGTCGATTCGCGGTGTTGACATCCCAGGAGTGGTGTCCTGACACAGTTGAAGTTCCAAGAACTGTGGTCTGGCACGTTTGGGGATTCTAAGACGGTTGTCTTCTAATGGGCCACTTTCCGCAATGAGTATGCATTCTTTCAGGGCCCTTTGAAGAGGGGACAGAGAGGGCGGATGCATTGCAACATCGTTGATGCGTCTTGGGTTTGCACTGGTCCTCCTGCTCCTCCTCCTCCTCCTCTTCTTCCCTCCATCCTCCCCCTCGTCTTCCTCGACCTCCTTGTCCTCGTCCTCCTCGTCTGCGTGAATCCTCTTCATTTTCCTTCTTCCTGTTCCCTCGTCCTCCGAGTCCTCGTCGTTGCCCCTCTCTGTCGTCGACGTCGTCGTCATCTAAGCAGCAGGAGCCAGTGGCGGTGAAGGGGGAATGGGGGGGCGAGGGGGAGCGCCCTGGCGCCAGCTCGCGGCCAGTGCAGAGCTGAGCTGGCGCTTGGGAGAGGAGGAGGAGGAGGAGGAGGAGGAGGAGGAGGAGGAGGAGGAGGAGGAGGAGGAGGAGGAGGAGGAGGAGGAGGAGGAGGAGGAGGAGGAGGAGGAGGCGGAGGAGGAGGAGGTCGGGGGCACACCAAGCCCCCCAGCGGTGGTCGCCAGGGGTGATCCTGGACAGGGTTGCCCACCGCTTCTCGCGCCATCCTGGAGCCCATGGGGCCCACCAGGCTCATGGAGCGCTCTGAGACCGCCTGGGCCTCCCTGGGAAAAGCTGAGGCCACCCCCTGGCCCACGGGCACCGCCTCTGGCGATATCCGACCCGAACAGTGAAGTCCCGCGCGCGTGCGGGGGGTCTGGTATGACTCTTCAGGGCTCCCTGTGAGCGGGATAAATGGCTGAGCGAGTCGTGGAGTGGGAGAAGGGCAAGCGGCACAGCCAGCAGCGGGAGAACGAGCAGGTTCCATAAACCAGGGCACTGGCGCACCCGAGGCAGCTGCATCACTTCCCGCTGGATCTGGCAAGCTCCTGGCTCCTGGGTCCTGGGCCCGCCCCGCCCCCCCGGAGAAGCCCACACTGAAGGGAGGGCGCGCGGGCGGCGAGTGTCCTCGCGCACCTGCTCGGGACCCTTGCCGCTGCCGGCGAGCCAGTCGCGCAGCAGCGGCAGGGCGGCGCGGTAGCCGACCTGGGAGGCGGGAGCGAAGGGGGGCGTTAGCGAATCTGCTCACGCAGCTGACTATCCTGGCGCCTTCCCGTGCGCATGTATCCTGGAAAGCGCCAGGCGGCGGGGCTGGAACCGGCTGCATGCAGCAACTTTCGTGCCCCGCCCCCCCCTATCCCGACCTCCCCTCTCGTCCACCCTGGTGCTCCCTCCTCCCCTCTTCCCCCCCCGCCATTCCCTAAGGAGCTTCCAGGCAACTTGCCGGGAGCTCTGCCCGTGCGGCTGTTCCACAAAGTGGCCCTGCGAGCCACCTGGAGGCACGCACGCTGCAATGCCCGCATCACGTTGGATCAAGTCTCCATCCAGCGTCTGGGGTCCGTGCCTGCCTCCTTCCCCTCGGTCTGCTGCTGCCTCTGCGCTTCTCTCGCTCCCGCTGTGCACTCTCCTCCTGTTTCCTCGTCGCCCCACTTCCGGTCCAGACGCGCGTGCCGCTGCATCGCTCTGGCCCTTCTTGGGAAAGTCAGTGTTTGGTCTTTTTGAACTCTCTCTCGCTCTCTCTCTCCCTCTCCCTCTCCCTCGTCCTTTCCCTCTTTCCCTCTCTCTCTCTCTCTCCCTCGCTCTCCAATTTTACACTGCCGTAGATTTTCTTACAATCGTAGGTGTTCTACGACATAGTACCTCTTAAATGTTTTCAGTGGTATCACAGACTACCTTCTATTATTTTCTCTGCTCTTCTCTTCTATTATGAATGTTCTACCTTCTCTGATTGTATCATACTGTATCTTCCCTTCCCTTCCCTTCCCTTCCCTTCTCTTCTCTTCTCTTCTCTTCTCTTCTCTTCTCTTCTCTTCTCATACTCCATAGTATCTTCGCTGACCTTCTCTTCTTGTCTCTTCTCGCACCAGCGTTTCTCTTCTATTCTCTTCTCTTTCCTTCTATTCTCTTCTCTCGGCGCGGATCAGGGGGGAAGCGAAAAGGAGCAGGCCGCCCCTGACCTCCTGAGACATGTTCTGTGTCTTCGGGGAAGGCTTAGAACACTTCTCTGAAGGCCCGACGACTTCCGAGCCTTCTGAGAAGGCCCGCCCCGTCAGACTCCCCCGGCGCCGATTCTCGTCTCGTCTCGTCTCGTCTCTGCTCTGTTTCTCAGGGGGCCCCGTCGCGGTGGGGCCCGACGGCGGCGTCGTGGGGGTTGCACAGCTACGCATGATTAACACAATCTGCGCCGGCTGAAGGCTTTGGAGCTTGAGTATTTCTTGGATAGGCTCCCTGCCGAGGGGGGGGGCTTTAACCGTCTGCAGGGGCTGTGGGTCTGGCTCAGCCTCTCCCTATTTATACGCAGCACCCCGCAGTTGCGGATGAGGGTAATGGGGCGGGCGCTGGGTGGGTCGAAAGTGGGTCGCGGGGTGGGTCGCGGGGAACGACGACAAAACCGCAACAACAGCACCAAACATAACATCACCAGCAACAGCAACACCAGCAGTAACAGCAACAACAACAACAATGGCAGCAACAACACCAACAACACCAGCAACCACAACAATAACACCACCAACAATCATTTTAAAGCTGTTCGCTCCTATCTGCCCGTGTGCCACTCAATACGTATATCGCAGACCCCTGGTACCCGCCGTCTTGATCTTCGATTGTGCCCGCTTGGGGGTCTATCTTCCTTACCTGCCACGTGCATTTAGTGCAGCCCCTGAAACAAGGGAAGAGAGGACGGATGGAAGGGGGAGGGAGAAGGATGGAGCACGAGAGAAATTAGCAGGGTGGGGGGCCAGGAGCAGGAAACACGTGGCAGAACCAGACGGGCAGATCGGGCGGGCAGACCCTAGCGGGCGGGTCGGGAAGGCGGGCCCAGGCAGCCAGGTCGAGAGGGCGGGTACCTGAAGCGTGAGTCCTGCATGAATCACGAGGAAGTCTCAAGCGATAGCGCGATTCCCAAGCAATCGTGAGAAAGGCCACGCGAGAGCGTGATTCCTGAGTGTCGAGGGCGCGGCGTCTGAATAAGTTGTGAGGAAGTCCTGCGTGAGAGTGCGATTTTGGACGACATTGTGAGGACGTGTCAGGCGGGAGCCGTAGTTGGATCTTCATTGTTTTTTTGTGGACCCCCCCTCTGGTAACCATTGTATTTTTCAATTGAAGTGCTTCTCCCGGGGCTTGCGCCTTGTTGTTCACAAGGGAAAGTAAAGGGTCACCAAACTGTGCCCCTGGCCCCCGTGTACAACAACAGCAGCTCCCGCCTGATATTTCCTTTCGGTTTATTCGCAGATCGCGCTCTCGCGCGGGACGTCCTCACAATGTATAGCAGAATCGCGCTCTCGCGTGGGACTTCCTCACAATGTATTCAGACGCCGCGCCCTCGACACTCAGGGATCGCGCTCTCGCTATCTTGTTATTTGGGAATCGCACTCTCGCTCGAGACTTCCTCGCGATTCACGCAGAACGCACGCCTTAGGGGCTGCACGAAATACACGTTGCAGGTAAGAATGACATACCCATACTGGGGACAGGATCAAAGACGAAGCGGGCGGGTCTCGAGGGTTTGGGATATACGTGCTTCATGTCACGCGAGCAGATCAGTTCGATCAATCTTAAAACTATGGTTTCTGTTGTCGTTGTTGTAATTCAGGGCCCACCAACCCAATTAGAGCAGGAATGCGTTCCCTGATTTGTCTTATAATGACTCCAACGGATGGACCCCACATGAAAACCTACCGTTGTATGGAATATGTACACTATAAGAATGATGCTGCTCCTCCTGACGCTGCTGCTGCTTCTCCTCCACCTCCTCCTCCTCCTCCTCCTCCTCCTCCTCTTTCTCTTCCTCCTCCTCCTCTTCCTCCTCCTCCTCCTCCTCCTCCTCCTCCTCCTCTTCCTTCTCCTAAACCTCCTCCTCTTCCCCCTGCTACCTCCATGAGGACCATTCGGCGCGTGCGGGTTCGTACGGAATGCCCCTCAAGGGCATCATCCTCGTCATCCTCCTGCTGCTGCTCCTCCTCCTCCTCCTCATCATCACCCTCACGTCTCCTCCTCCTCCTCCTCCGCCGCCTCCTCCTCCTCTTCCTCTTCCTCCTCCTCCTCCTCCTCCTTGAACAGCGTCCATTTCAACCGCGTCCTCCTGACGGCACCGTGGTTGAAATCCCCGCTTCCTCCCCCTCTTTCTCCCCCTCCTCCTTCTCCTCATCCTCCTCCGCCTCCTCCTCCTCCTCGACCGGCTTTCATTTCAACCACCTCCTCCCGACGCCGCCGTGGTTGAAACCTTCCTCCCCGCTCGCTCATCCTCCTCCTCCCTCCTCCTCCTCCTCCTCCTCGTCCTCCTCCTCGTCATCCACCTCCTCCTGGTCCCCCCCTTCCTCTTCCTCCTCCTCCTCCTCCTCCTCGTCCTCCTCCTCGTCCTCCTCCTCCTCTTCATCCTCACGTCTCCTCCTCCTCCTCCTCCTCCTCATCATCATCATCCTCTTCCTCCTCCTCCGCCTTGAGCAGCGTCCATTTCAACCGCGTCCTCCTGACGGCACCGTGGTTGAAATCCCCGCCTCCTCCTCCTCTTTCTCCTCCTCCTCCTCCTCCTCCTCCTTCTCCTAAACCTCCTCCTCCTCCTCCTCCTCCTCCTCCGAGCGAGCGGGCTCGCTGCTGCCGATAGCCGTTGGAATTCCAACTTTTAGGTGGGACCCCCTAGGGGCCACAGGGGAAGTCCCTTCCGCGCGAGCGGGCTCGCATGGAATGCCCCTGAGGGTCATTCCGTGCGAGCGGGCTCGCTGATTCCGATAGCCGTTGGAATTCCAACTTTTAGGTGGGACCCCCTAGGGGCCACAAGGGAGGTCCCTTCCGCGCGAGCGGGCTCGCATGGAATGCCCCTGAGGGTCATTCCGTGCGAGCGGGCTCGCTGTTCCCGATAGCCGTTGGAATTCCAACTTTCAGGTGGGACCCCCTAGGGGCCAAAAGGGAGGTCCCTTCCGCGCAAGCGGGCTCGCATGGAACGCCCCTGAGGGTCATTCCGTGCGAGCGGGCTCGCTGTTCCCGATAGCCGTTGGAATTCCAACTTTTAGGTGGGACCCACTAGGGGCCAAAAGGGAGGTCCCTTCCGCGCGAGCGGGCTCGCATGGAATGCCCCTGAGGGTCATTCCGTGCGAGCGGGCTCGCTGTTCCCGATAGCCGTTGGAATTCCAACTTTCAGGTGGGACCCACTAGGGGCCACAGGGGAGGTCCCTTCCGCGCGAGCGGGCTCGCATGGAATGCCCCTGAGGGTCATTCCGTGCGAGCGGGCTTGCTGATCCCGATAGCCGTTGGAATTCCAACTTTTAGGTGGGACCCCCTAGGGGCCAAAAGGGAGGTCCCTTCCGCGCGAGCGGGCTCGCATGGAATGCCCCTGAGGGTCATTCCGTGCGAGCGGGCTCGCTGTTCCCGATAGCCGTTGGAATTCCAACTTTTAGGTGGGACCCCCTAGGGGCCACAGGGGAGGTCCCTTCCGCGCAAGCGGGCTCGTGGGTGTGTGGGTGTGGCCCGCGGCCGTCCAGAGAAAATAAGAACCCCACTTAGGATGTGGGGAAAAACCAGGGGCGAGACCAAATGGTGGGCACTTCAATTGACAAACGCAGTGTGCACCCGTGAGGGGGACCAACACAAATTATTCTCCAACATCGATGCAACAACAACTACAGAAACAACAAACGCAACAACAGTACCAATCATTTTGATAATGTTCGCTCCTATCTGCTCGTGTGCCATTCAACACGATCGATCGTAAACCCCTTAGGGGTAGATCTTTCTTATCTGCCACGTGCATTCAGTGCAGCCCCTAACGCAGGGGAAGAGAGGACGGATGGAGGTGGGAGGAAGAAGGACGGAGCATGAAAGAAATTAGCAGGAGGGGGGCTAGGAGCAGAAAACACGTGGTATGACCAGACAGGCAGATCGGGCGGGCAGACCCTACCGGGCGGGTCGGAAGGCGGGCCCAGGCGACCAGGTCGAGCAGGCGGGTTGCTTAAGCATGAGTCTTGCATGAATCGCGAACACAGTCTCGAGCGATAGCGCGATTCCCAAGTAACTCGCGAGAGAAGCCACAGCGAGAGCGTGGTTCCTGAGTGTCGAGGGCGCTGTGTCTGAATAAATTGCGAAGACATCCCACGCGCGAGCGCGAATCCTGCATACATCGTGACGAAGTCCCGCGCGAGGGCGATGTTGGAATACATTGTGAAGAAATCTCAAGCGGGAACCGCTGTTGTTGTAGCCGGGGGGACAGGTGCTCAATTTGAGCAGGAAGACATTCCCTGATAAAAAAAAATTATCCCGGCAAAGCAACCTAACAGCGATGTGTAGAAGCATATCTGAAAGCATTCCCCTTAAGATTCAGATGAAAATCCAGTTGTAGAATTCTGCTGTTCTCGCAGTCGTAGTCGCATTCGCGATGACAGTCGCAGCGGCAACGGCAGTCGCAGTCACAGCCTCAGCCTCAGCCTGCCTCAGCCTCAGCCTCAGCCTGCCTCAGCCTCAGCCTGCCTCAGCCTCAGCCTCAGCCTGCTTCAGCCTCAGCCTCAGTCTGCCTTCAGCCTCGGCCTCAGCCTCAGCCTGCCTCAGCCTCAGCCTGCATCAGCCTCAGCCTCAGCCTCAGCCTGCCTCAGCATCAGCCTGCCTCAGCCTCAGCCTCAGCCTGCCTCAGCCTCAGCCTCAGTCTGCTTCAGCTGCTTCAGCCTCAGTCTGCCTTCAGCCTCGGCCTCAGCCTCAGCCTGCCTCAGCCTAAGCCTGCCTCGGCCGCAGCATCAGCCTGCCTCAGCGTTCAAAATGTGGCCCAGGAATGGATTCTGGGAACTAGAAGAACACGAAGTGGCCTACAGTTGGCTCCGGGCATTCAAAATCATGCCCAGGAATGGAGTTCTGGGAACTTGAAGAGCACGAAGTGGCCTACAGTTGGCTCCGGGCATCCAAAATGTGGCCCGGGAATGGAGTTCTGGGAAATCGAAGAGCACGAAGTGGCCTACAGTTGGCTCCGGGCATCCAAAATGTGGCCCGGGAATGGAGTTCTGGGAAGTCGAAGAGCACGAAGTGGCCTACAGTTGGCTCCGGGCATCCAAAATGTGGCCCGGGAATGGAGTTCTGGGAGCACCAAGAGCGATTTTGCGAGGATGTCCCAAGCGATTTCGGCTTCGGCGGCAGCCTTTCTGGGTCCCGCCCAGACCCCCCTGAGGAGTCATGATGCTCTCTTTTGAGACCACTAGAAATCTATCAGCAAGAGCTGTTAGGTAACAAGATGCGAGCCCATATGGTGGCATTTCAATTGAAAAACACAATGTGCACCGGTGAGGGGGATCACCAACAATTATTCTTCAAGAGTGAGAGTTCAGCATCAACAACACCACCAACAACTATCACTTTCAGACTGTTCGCTCCTACCTGCTCGCGTGCCATTCAACACGTATCCCAAACCCTCGATACCGCCCCCTTCGTCTTTTTCGGACCCCCCTGGGGGTCTATCTTCTTTACCTGCCGCGTGTAATTGGTGCAGCCCTTCAAACAGGGGAAGAGAGGACGGATGGCAGAGGAAGGAGAACGATGGAGCACGGGGTTAGTAGGATGGGGGCTAGGAGCACAAAGTACGTGGCAGAACCGGGCGGGCATATCGCGCGGGTAGATCCTAACGGACGGGTCGGGAAAGCGGGTCCAAGCGGCCAGGCCGAGCAGGCGGGATGCTGAAGCGTGAATGCTGCATGGATCGCGAGGAGGTGTCGTGCGATAGCGCGACTCCCTAGTACATCGCGGAGAAAACCAGAGCGAGAGCGTGATTCCCAAGTGTCGAGGGCTACATTGTGAGGAAGTCCCACGCGAGAGAGCGATGTGTGCGAGATCGCGATCTCTCAATAAGTTGTGATGGAATATCAGGAGGGAGCAGTTGTTGTTGTTGTTGTTGTTATTATTGTTGATGTTGTTGTTGTTGTTGTTGTTGATGTTGTTGCTGTTGTTGTAAACCGGGGGCCAGGGGCCCAGTTTGGTGACCACATTTCCCTGATAAAAAGCAAGGTGCGAACCCCGGAATGAACACTTTAATGTTAAAACGCACTGGTCATCGGGCAGGGGGTCAACAACACAGTCCTTTTAAACGGAGAATTCAAAAAACAACAACATCAGCAACCGTAACAGCAACAGCGACAACAACACCAACACCAACACCAACAGCAGCAGCAGCACCACCACCAACAACAATAGCACCACCACCAACAACACCAACTCCAACAACACCAATCACACCAACAACAACAATACTTCGCACAGCGGAGTCACACTTCAGACACGCACCCAGGGCCCTCTCACTCTGATGACTACCCTTTATCGTGCATCTCGGCTCAGCTCGCCTCCTCGATCTCGCGGTACTTGCCGAACTCCAGCAAGCCGTACCCAGTGATATCTGGGGATATGGTGAGGTCCGCGCGCGATTGGTTGGACTCCTTGGCCAGGGAGGCAAAAGGGAGACGAGGAGAAGGGATTTGGATTGATATGGGTGGGGAGGTATGTGTTGAGAGTGGGAGGGGATCTGGGTAAGGGGAGGAGTATGGGTACTTTCAAGTAATCGTTGTGGTATGTGGCGAAGCTAGTTAAGTGGATGCTGATCTAATGGGGCGCGCGGTCTGCCAGGGCAGACGCCGCACTCGACAGGAGGAGGGTGATGATGAGTTGCGATGTTTGTATTTCGCCGTTGATCGATGGTCAGAAGAGGAGGAGGAAGAGGAGGAGGAGGACGAGGAGGAAGAGGAAGAGGAGGAGGGGAAGGAGAAGGATGAGGAGGATAAAAAAAAGAGGAGGAGGAGGAGGGCAACTCTACACGCTTACCCAACGTTCACCGTGTATTGACGACCCGATGGCGCATTTCATCTTTCAGATGCAGCGCACTGACGCCTGCTCACACAGGCGCTCGGTTCTGTAGCAGAACTGCAAGAGGTATTAAGGTGGGAGGCAGGGGGGGCGGTCTGATGCGCGCTTGAGCAGGCTACGCGCTTACCCAGAGCTCGCGCTAGACTGACGACTCGATGGCACATCTCATGTTTCATATGCGTAGCACGGACGCCTGCCCACACAGGCGCTCAGTTCTGTAGCACAACTGTAACGCGACATGCACAACTGTTCGACGCACCAATCTGCGGCCGAAGACGTGTCTGCCCGCACTTGTCCCTAACGCATCTGACGGAGCCGGTTTCCGCTCACCGAAGCTTGCGAATCAACAGTATTGAGAAGGCCTTCTCTGCCGCGGCCGCCCTTGACTGCTGCTGCTGCGCCGTTGACTTATGAACCTGACGAAGGATCTTCCCGTGCTTGGAATATCTGACTACGCTCTGTGCGCGCCGCCACTGACCCCTTTTCCTGAATTTGCTCAAGAGTGGCGACCTGGGTGCGAACATCGTGAAACGCGCCAGCGTGACAGACGCCGCGAGGAGAGACATCCAGATCCGTGAGGCCGAGGTCGAAGGCAGCCTTCCGAAACGTGGCTTCGTACCGCGGAAGGTTGAGGTCGAACAAGTGCTCCTCCTGGCACCGTCAACCGTACCATTTGCCAACCGCATCGGCCACCCGGGAGCGGCCCACCTCGCCGATCACGACGGCGCTGTCCACCGCGCCAGTCTTCGTCGGGGCAGCGTGCTCGGCCTTGCCGAGCAGGAGAGCCCAGGCGCGCGCGCGCGGCGTCGCCCAGCTCTCGGGGCAGGCGGCATCGCCGCGGACATCGGGAGCCACGCGGCCTCGTCTGGCCTCAGGTAGCAGTTGAGCTGCAGGGCCAGACGCACCGCGGCACCGAGGTTCCCGCGCTCGAGGAAGTACACGCCGAGCAAGCACACGACGCCGAAAGGAATCGGGTCACGCACCTGCTCAGGTGCACGGGTGTTCCAGTTTCGCCAGGCCGGAGTAGCTAGCTCTCGGGGACAGAGTGGACTTGTTGCGGTCAAGGTGAATACTGGAGTGCGCGTAGCCGTAGAGCGCGTTGCGGCCCTCCGCAGACCCGTCGAAGTAGAGTTCGGTGAAGCAGGAGTCCATGGCTTGGTCCGTGGGGGCGAAGCTGGCCAGGTCGCAGCGCCTCGGCTTCGCCCAGGACTCGAACCGTTGGAGCGCCTCAGAGTACAGGCCCAGTACAGACGCCTCGTGGAGTCCCTGATGGCCCCGAGCCGGAAGAAGCTGTCGTGCTCACGCGCAGGCGCCCGCTAATTACTGCCGAGCGGCGGCCAGCCTGTGCTTCTCCTCTCCGACAGCCGCGCGTCCGTGGCGACGCTGAAACCTTCGCAGCCGCCGCCCTACCGCCCCCGCGCGCCCCCGAAAAGGGCGGGGTGCCGCGGGCGGAAGTGCTCGCCGCGGCTCTCGGCGTCAAATCCGCCGCGGGCCTCGCCGAGTTTCGATGCAGCACCGCGCGCCCGCGGCACCGGCGCCTCTAGCTCCTCGCCCCACTTCGAGGACAGCAGCCCAGAGACGCCAAAGGCCTCAGGAGGCGCCGCGCGGCATAGCGCGGCCGCCCACTCTCGGCGCCGGGCGGGCGAGAAGGCTCCTGCTTTGAGCCCGCCCCGCAGAGGCTCATGACGGTGTGGCCCATCGCATTTCCTCCCCAGCGAATGCCAAACCGTGGCATTGGCGAAGAGGGTGGGGCGGTAGGCTCACGTACTTTTTCTCCGGCGGCGCACGTATCAAACGAGATGCATCTGGCATCTGGCAAGCTCGCGAGGTCGGCCAGCGGACCAAATCTGAATAACTTGGAGCTGGGCGGATTCTCCAGTGACCGCGAGACGCCGCGCCGATTGCATTATCTCATGAGATCTGCGGTGACCAAAGCCATGTCAACGGATGCCGCCTCGAGCCGCCTGGCCCGCTCGACATTATGAGGGGCGGGGCGAGCGACTGACCCGGCGGCGCAAGCTGTCGGGAGATGCACGTGCCATGCTCTCCCACTTCGAATCCAATGTGGCACTGCCTGCTGCGTAGTACGACTTGACAGGTCATGTCGAGCTGATCGTCTGGCGTCGGCGCCTGTGCGCACTCGAGGGCCCTGCCCGCTGAGGGCCGCGCCGAGTCGGCCGGAGCCGCTGAACAGCTCGAAGGCCGCCTTCTCGGGCGGCCGCGCGCCGCGCAGCCGAGGCGCCGCCGGGCGCCCGGCGCTGGCTCGCCGCGGAGGTGCCGGAGCGCCGCCGGCCAGGCGGGCCGGCGCGAGCAGCCGTGGCGCGCGAGGCGGCGGGCCGCCGTGAGCCCGCGTCCGCGCGGCTCCCATCGGCGCGCAGGTGCCGCGCTCGCCGCGCTGAGCAGCCGGCGACCTGGCGGGCGGCTGCGCGGCGGCAGAAGGCGTTGAGCGGCGCCGGGCTGGGCGACCTGCCTCGGTCGAACACCGCCGCCGAGACGAGCGTGCGCAGGCTGCGCTAGAGCCCCGTGAGACGCGCGCGGGCTTCCTTGACGTCGATGTGCTCTCGGCCCCACTTTCAGCGCCCCTCGGCGAGCGCGCGCCGGCGCCGCCCGTCGCCCCAACAGGCGCCAGCGATCGGGATCGCCTCGAAGCGCTCCGCGCCATCGTGAGGCGAGGCCCCGCGGGCCGCTCGCAATTATCCTCCTCTTCTTGCTCGGGGCTCCACTCGCTGCCTGGTCGCCCGTCGCGGCGCCCTTGCAGCCGACCCAGTCGGCGAGGCAGGTCTGGGCCCCCAGCGGCGCCCAGGCGGCTCGCCCCTTGACCTCCGCGTCGCCGAAGGCCGAGACGTCGCTTTCCTGGTCCGCGCCGTCGCCCTCGAAGCGGGCCCCCAAGGGCGCGCCCGGGGAGTCGACGGTGAGGCGAGGCGCAGGCAGGGGCGGCGGCGCCGCCTTGGCCCTCCAGCGCTCGCGCCATCTGAAATCCTGCAGCAGCTCGTCGCTGCCCCCGTCCGCCCCCGCGAGCGCGCGCCCGTAGCTCGATCAAGTGCCCAAGCGTGCCGACGGCTTGGGCGGCGCGCCCAGCTCGGCCTCCGCAGTGATGACCAGGTTGGACATGGGCCAGAACTCCCGTCGCACGCCGCGCGGTAGTCGTCCAGACCTGTGCTTGTGAGCCGCCGCGAACGCATTGCGCTGCGAGAGCACCCTCGCCAGCGGGCGGCAGGGGCCGCGCGGGTGGGCGGCGGGGCCCGACCAGATTTCGAGCTGCCAGCCGGCCACGACCCGCCGCCGCAACAAGGCCTTCGTCGCCTGCTTGAAGCGCCACAGTCGGGTCGAGAAACGACGAGGCCGTCGTCCGGACCCGTCGAGCAGCCCCGACGCCTCGAGGTAGGGGCTGCAGAGCGCCTCGTCGCGGAGGTCGAGGCCGAAGGCTGCGCGCTGCGCCTGGAAATCGCGGTGGGAATGCTGCGCGCTGGCCGCGCCGTGGCCCGGCCCCGCGCGGTCGTCCGCGCGCGCGGCGCGCGCGGGCCATCCAAGGGCCAGGCGCGGGTCAGGGGCCCGCTCGCGGAGGAGGTCCGACCAAGCCCCCGAAACAACAAACGCGACTCGCGCCGCCGCCGCCGCCTCGTTGCAGAAGTAGAGCGCCCGCGACCATCCCATCGGCATCGCGCCCATGCAGGGGAGCAGCGCTCGTGCTTGCCAGGCTTCAATTCGCGGCCCAGCGCGGGGTCGCGCGCCGCGTCGACGCCGCAACTCCCCTTGCCGAAGGCCGCGTCGATTCCAAACCAGTCGGCCGCCTCGGCGATGCGAACAGGCAGTGGCCGTCTCGCGCGCCCGCTCCACTTCGATGGAAGTCCAAGGCTGGGGCGGCGCCCGCGCGGGGAAGCGCGCGGCGGCCCGCTGCGTCGGCCGCCGCCTCCGCGAACTCGGACAGGTTGAGCTCTGCAAACGATCGCGCGGTGCTGAGCTGCGTCGTCGGCGGGGGGCGGTGACAAGCATTGGGGTGCGCCCCTCGCGTCCGCGATGGGCCTGATGGCGTCTTCCTTGTTCTTGACACAGAAGAGGGCGACGCGGCCCTGGGCGCGCCTCCTCGGCGCCGGGGCGCCAGTGGCCACCAGCCGCTGAAAAGGTCGCGGCGGCTGGCCTTGTCCTGTCGCAGGACAGGGCCCCAGTGAGGCTTCGGCGAGGGTTCCCGAGCAACTTCGCTTGGATCTCCTCGGCCGACAACTCAATGCGCGTCTTGCATCTTCGGGGCCTCCGAGCCGCCTCTGGCGGCAGCAGCGATCTCATCCTTAGGCCCGACCGCGCCTTGCCACGCGTGGCTTAGCTGGATCATGGCTGACAAGATGGCGTGGCTCTTGACCGTGCAGGTCCTTTGTCTTGAAGGTATCCTGGGGGGCTCTACTTGGCACGGGGCCGTCGGGAACGGGTCCAGCACGCCGCGCCCAGCCCTCGACGCTCGCGAGCATCTCGCGCGGCGCCGCCGCGGGCGAGGCGCCGGGCAACGGGCGTCTGCGAGAGTGCGGTGAATTCGCCGGAGCGGCCGCCCATTGTTTGACGCCGAGCAATGCGCCCCTAATAA